ATTGCTGTTTTGCTCTCCAAAAAATGTTTTTTTTTTTTTTTCTTAATTTATGTCAAAGTAACTGCATGTATAAACTTTAATTTTTTTATAATATTAGTTTAAAGTACAAATTAGAGATATTTTAAATATCAGTAAATTACAAGCAAAAAAAAAAAAAAAAAAAAGAAGACCAGGAAATTAGACATTTAATAAAGTAATACATAATACAGACAATATACTGTCATGCATTTAAGACGAAATAAGTAGACTAAACAAGCTAGAAACTAACCATAAAGTGATTGTAATTAATTTAAATTTAAGTAAAAAAACTAGTTTGCATGACACCTATAAAATGTTGACTGTCGTTGCTCAACTTTATTTTAAAAAAAAAAAAAGAAACTAATTTATTGCTTAAAAAAAAAAACACAAACGAGAAGAAGTTTTAAGAGGTTTCAAAATTGCAAAAACTTTTTGTACTGTTAAATTACACTTCATTTACCTAAGGTTAACAAATGAAAACTAGTCATAAGCTAATATAAAAAAATTAAAATTTCTTGTATTCAGCACACAGAACTGTTCTTAAAAAATATCTCCAAAATTAAGTGTTGCTTGAGCACTGAACATATAAACAGTGATACAGATGGCCGTGACCTTCTTCGCTGAACAACTGACAAGTGATCCACTGTAAATGAGACTTTTCTTTCATTATTTTTATTCAACAACAAAAGGTTGTGGTAATCAGTAAAAAATGAAATAAAAAAACAATTTAAAAAACAGATCAATTAAATGCCAAAAAATAATACTGTCTACAATTCAGCCTCTACTTTTACATTTGTTGCTTTCTGTACATTACCCACAACAGATCTGTTAACCTGTAAACCTGTCTAAAAAATATACGTTAAAAGTAAAAGAAAATAATTTTTAAGAGTCTTCTTTGTATAAAAAAGGCTAGACCAACTAAGAGAGAAAAGATTAAAATGAATAAGAAATAAAGGAGGAAACAAGGCTGCTAGTTTACTGGTTATAACTTTTTGCAAATTTCTTTTTTTGGTGACAGTGTTTCTTCTGTTTAATCAAGTTTTCATCA